TTAATATGTTCAAAAAAATAGATCACCAATGTGTACATGCCATATAAACAGTGGACATATTAACATGTGTCCAACGTGGATAGAAGAGCATTACTACCGACGGAATGCCACACAAAGCCAAGCAGAAATGAATGATGCTTGAATCTCTCTCTAATTTGGACACTTCAAAGCAATCCTCACTACATGGGCTTGAGGTTTAGGACACTCAACACCCAGAGAGAGGGAGAGAGTTTTCATCATTTTTTTTTTTTTCAAGTAATCTGTTTAGCTATAGAAGAACATCTCATCTATCAGTGATTCTGTGTACTCCAATATTCAGGAATACTATTATATATGAGAAACTATTCTCTAATGATTTACAGTGGAGACAGCACCTCAGCCAAACATTTAAAATTGCTGGGTAGAAAAACATACAGTGAAGCCTTCAGCTAATACTATGCAATTTCAAGCAGAAATTGCCAGCCCCATTTTACAACACATTTGTGTACGCATATTCTGAAGCCTCCGCTTCGTGTATCCAGTCTCTGGTTATTTAGTCTCGTCATTTGTTGTTTGCTTGGAAAGTCGCCACATAGAAATGCAACCTCCAAAGAGTCACATTGTCCTTACAAAAATAACCAAAAAAAATCCTATAAGAGAGGGAATTGGTCAAATTTTGACATGCAAAATTAAACTTTGTCTTAAGCCTACCATTCCATCGAGGTCAACATAAACTTCACCCAACGGATATTTTCCAGATGGCGGCTCGTTTTGGTTAATAATTTCCACAACTCGGTCAAGGTTTCTTGGTGGTAGATTCTGGATAGATCTACGAAGCTGTTGCTTCTCGGCAAGGGTCATTGGCCTGTAGAAGAAAAACTTAAGATTTATAACGCATGATTATCGGTTTTCATTAAGTAGAAATGTTGGAATAAACAGACAGCAAATTCTAATTGAGCCATATATCGAATGAGATCAGTGTATTAGTTAAAAGGCCAACCCCGTATATTGAATTCGAAACAGAAAAGGAATTTTAAGCAAGAAGCAAATCGGAAGATTGGAAGAATTCCAAAACCTAAAGGGGCAATTGGATATAAATAAAATTGGTTTCATTCGATTTATTGATTAAAGTGTGAAGTATTCTGAATAAAGTTGAGTGGAGTATTGAGTTGGATTTTGAATTTGTATTTAAATAATATTTCAAATGTAATTATTAATGATTAAAGTTGATGTGATTAAAAGTAGGAGAGAGTTTTTTGGAGATGATTGATAGCTAAAAGTATGTTGTGTTGGATAGTGAATTAAAGTTGATGTGGTGTGTGAGAATGATTGATTGATATTATTTAATTATACTAGAAAAATGCACGTGCTACGCACGTGGTATTTTTTTTCAAATTATTTTTAGTATTAGGTTTATATTTAAAAGTATAATATAATTTTCTTTCATTTAGTTTAACAAAAAATGGTGTATTTTAATGAATAATGAAATATAGTATTTAATACTATTATCTGAACTCTATGATGAATAAAATAAAAATAAAAAACATTGGGTTGAAAACCAAAAATAAAATTAATATTTTTTAGTGAAAATGTAAATGCTAAAAAAATTATAGTCTTGGATTTTGTTATTTAATGATATCTTCATTGTGCTTAAAATAATGATCACTATTATTGTCTTCATAATATAGCTTTCTAATGTCATCCTTTTACATCATACTCTTTGAAAAAATAACTCAAATTTTCTATAACTATAATTTATAATGATTATTTTTTTTTATTTATTGTCGATCGGAAGCTAACAAACTATGTCTAAATAATTCGTTCTCAATTATTTTGATTACTGTGGTTGCAAGTGTAATTATATTTGCCAGTATAATTTCATAATACTTAGATATATATAGTTATTCCGATATAAGAGATACATAAATATTTGAAAATGTCTTTAATTCAAGTCGTAATTAACTAATTATTTCAAAAAGAAAATTTACTTGAAAAGCATAGGAATAATAACATTTTTATTGATTAAAGCTACCTATCTATCTATATATCTTTTTCGACATAAATTATTGTTGCATCTCCTAACATTGTCATATATCCATTATCTTCATTCTCGAATTTTCAAGACTATCCTAAATGTAAATAATTACTAATTCCAGTTTAAATGAATTATGTAATGATGATTCCTTCATATTTTATTTTTATCTTAACATTATTTTATATCTTCGTCAACATTTCATCCCTACTTTTGCTTAAAATAATTATCATTGATATTGTCATCAAATATAGCTTTCTAATGTCATCCTTTTGCATCATACTCAATTTGTTATAACTATAATTTATAATGATTATTTTTTTATTGTAGATTGAAAGCTAAAACATTATGTTTGAATAATTCGTTCTCAATTATTTTGATTATAGTGGTTGCAATTAGCCATATTTGCAAGTATAACATTTCATAATACCTAGATATATATAATTTTTCTCTAGTCATAATGACATAAGAGACACATAAATATTTGAAAATGTTTTTAAAGTCATAATTATTTCAAAAAAAAAAAAAAAAAATTACATGAAAAAACTTAGGAATAATAACATATTTATTGATTAAAGATACTCATCTATCTACATATCTTGTCCAACATAAATTATTGTTGCATCTCCTAAAATTGTCGTACATGCATTATCTTCATTTCCAAATTTTTAAGACTATCCTAAATGTGAAAATTTAATGAGTCTAGTTTTAATGAATGATTCATATTTAAAGTTAATTCACTATTTATTTTTATTTAATTAATTTTAATTGCAACTATTTTCTAATAAGTGCACGTATTATAAAATTCAAGATTTAAAATAGAATATTAGTTATTTTATTTTATTTCTGTAATTAATCTATTTTTGCTTATATTACAACAGT